CCTTTCAACACTAAATTATGACACATGCAAATAAACAAGAAAGTATGATAAGTATAGCCCATACACAGAAAAAAGCAATGAGCAGAAACTATCCTTGAAGAAGCCTAAACATTGGACTTACTAGACCAATACTTGCTTTCATTGCTTTTGTCTTCATATTTATTGGGAAATCAGGAGAGGCTGTTTTTCATTATTCTCAGGCCATTTTATCCTAGTTCAATGTACTGTCTTTGACCTTTCTTATGTGGGCATATTTATTTATTTACTTTTTTTGGTGGGGCTAGGATCAAACACTGTTCATGCATGTTCTAGGCTAGGCGAGGTGTCCACCGATGAGCTATACCCCTAGACTGCTCATTTTTATTTTGAGAATGGGATCCTAACTAGTTATTGCTTGTGTGAAATTTTATTTGTTGAGTTTGCTTTGTTTGCTCTACTTTGGTCTGATAGTTATTCAGTTGATTTTCTTTTTTCCTTCCAAATATAAGGTCACATAATCTATTAATAGTGACATTTTGTTCTTTGATGTTTTTTTATTACCACCTATTATTTTTTTCTTATTGCATTGGATCTCGTCTGACTCATGTCCTATTATGAATTACAATGTTTGGTGCAGAGTTCTATAGATATCTCTTGTGGGATTAGGAAATTTTTCTTCTGTTTCTGGTTTCTTTTTATTCAGTAATCAGCATTGAATTTATTGATAATTTTTCTAAGCATTTGTTGAGAAGATTGTATAGCTTTTCATTCATTTTTAATATCAGAAATTATAATGAATTGTCTACATTCTTCTGGGAAAATTTCCCTTTGTCAAAATATATTATTTCTAAGTAAAAGGCTTGGATTTATTTGTAAATATTTTATTTGGAACTTATGCATTTATGTTTACAATGAGGTAAATTGTAGGTTTCTATATTGAGGTATTTTTAGTCTATTCTTGACATTACTATAATATTACCCTCTAAAATGTATTCAAAATTTTCTTTAAAGTATTTTTATTATGAAATATTTCAAATGTTTCAAATTTCAAGGTTTTGGATATTTAATGTTTTATCATATTTACTTCATATTGCTTAAATAACAAGAAAATTACAAGTAAAATACAGGCCCCCTTTATAGCTCCTCCAATAATTGTTTCCCCTCCTCAGATGTGAGCAATAAATTCTAAATTTGGTGTTTATCACTTTTATATTTTTATACTTTAATGATATATTTATAAACCTAAAATGTTTTAAAAAATTACAGATGGGGTTTTACATTTATTATCCAGTTAGCATAGTCATGAAGAATGAGAACTCTTGAGCCAGGGGGTCTCAGCTTGAAGTTTCCAACTATACTAGTATTTTTGTGTGCGTCTGTTTTCATTTTGTGAGTATTGTTAGTCTTCTGAGTTCCTTGACCCTTTTGTTGTTGGGAAACGATCCTCTTTCTCCTGGCTAACATCCCTTGTTTTGAAGACTACTGTGTCTCATGTTAATGTCACCACTCTGTTGCCATCCTCACCCCTGATTGGCAATGGATTTTCTTCACTTTTTATTTGCTGCACAGGTATTTAATTTTGACTTTCGAAAGATATTTTTGCTAGATATAAAATTTTGTGTGGACAATCATTTTCTGTCAGTACTGGGGTTTTGAATATGTTGCTTCTTTGTCTTCTGGCTTAGAGTTATGGTAAGAAATCTGGAGTTTGTTGTAATTAATGGCCAATGATTCTTTGTTCCTTTGTATTTCAGCTTTCTTTTTTTCTCCACATGCCTAAAATATTTTTATTCCATGTTTTCATTACTTTTATTTTATGTATCTGATGCAGGGTTCTTTGTGTGCTTTTGCTTGTTAATTATTGACTTTCTTATATCAGGGGGGTTTATAGTTGTCTTAAAATTTGGAAAAGTTTTGATAATTTTTTTTGTGCAAATATTTTCAGATCCCATACAACACCTTTCTGAGACTCCAATTAAAGTATATATTAGGCTGAGAATTTGTACATTTGATTTTACTTTTATTTCTTTCATGATTGATTTTGCTTCTTTTAAAAATTATTTATTTATTTATTTAAAAAATATATTTATTTTTAAAATTTGTTCTACTTAGTTGTACATGACAGAAGAATGCATTTCAATTCATCATACACAATAGAGCGCAACATTTCAATTCTCTGGTTGTACATGGTATAGAGATGTACCATTCATGCAATCATACGTGTACCTAGGGTAATGATATCCATCTCATTTCACAATATTTCCTACCCTCATAACCTTTCCTCACCCTCTCCTTTGCCCAATTCAAAGATACTTCATTCTTCCCATGCCCTGCCCCTTCCCATCATAGATTAGCATCCACTAATCAGAGAAAACACTGGGCCTTTAATTTTTTGAGATTGTCTTACTTCACTTGGTATAATATACTCCAACTCCATTTATTTACCTGAAAATGCTACAATTTTATTCTCCTTTAATCTGAGTAATATTCTAGTGTGTATGTGTGTGTGTGTGTGTGTGTGTGTGTGTGTGTCTATCTATATATCTCTATCTAGATATCTATCTATCTATCTATCTATCTATCTATCTCACAGTTTCTTTATCCGTTCATCTATTGATGGACATCTAGGTTGGTTCCACAGTTTAGCTATTGTGAATTCAGCTGCTATCCAAATTTGTGTGGCTATGTCACTATAGTATGCTGATTTTAAGTCCTTTGGGTATAAACTGAGAAATGGGATAGCTGAGTCAAATGGTGGTTCTGTTCCAAGTTTTCTGAGGAATCTTCACACGTGTGTTTTCCAAAGTGGTTGCACTGATTTGCAGTCCCACCAGCAATATATGAGTGTACCTTTTCCCCCACATCCTCTCTAACACTTATTATTGCATGTATTCTTGATAACTGCCATTTTGACTGGGGTGAGATGAAATCTTAGAGTAGTTTTGATTTGCATTTCTCTAATTACTAAAGATGTTGTACACTTTTTCACAAATTTGTTGATTGCATGTGTACCTTCTTCTGAGAAGTGTATGTTCAGTTCCTTAGCCTATTTATTGGTTGGGTTGTTTGTGTTTTGGGTATTAAGTTTTTTTGAGTTATTTATATATACTAGAGATTCGTGCTAGCTCTATCTGATGTGCATGTGGTAAAAATTTGCTCCCATACTGTAGGCTCTCTCTTTACCTCATTGATTTTTTTCTGTTTCTTTCCTTTTTTTTCTGAGAAGAAGCTTTTTAGTTTGAATCCATCAAAAAACTTCTAGAACTAATAAATAAATTCAGCAAAGTAGCAGGATATAAAATAAAATTCCCATAAATCAAATGAATTTTTATACATGTAATGAATACACAGAAAGAGAAATTAGGAAAACCACCCCATTCAAAATAGCCTCCAAAATATAAAATACCTGGGAATCAGTCTAACAAAAGAGGTGAAAGACCTCTACAATTAATACTTCAGAACACTAAAGAAGGAAATTGAAGAAGACCTTAGAAGATGGAAAGATCACCCTTGTTCTTGGATAGGCAGAGTTAATATTGTCAAAATGGCCATACTACCAAAACTGTTATACAGATTTAATGCAATTCCTATTAAAATCCCAATGACATTCTTCATAAAACAAGAAAAAGCAATCAAGAAATTCATTTGGAAAAATAAGAGGCCCAGAATAGCCAAAGCAATTCTTAGCAAGAAAAGTGAAGCAGGAGGCATCACCATACCAGACCTTAAACTATACTACAGAGCAATAGTAACAAAAACAGCATGGCATTGGCACCAAAATCCACATATTAACTAATGGTAAAGAATAGAAGACTCAGAGAAAACCTGTATAAATACAGTTATCTCATACTAGACCATGGCACCAAAAACACACATTGGAGAAAGGAAAGCCTCTTCAACAAATGGGGAAAACTAGAAATCCATATGTAGCAAAATGAAATTGAACCTCTATTACTCATCATGCACAAAACTCTGCTCCAAGTGGATCAAGGATCTAGGGATTAGACTAGAGACCCTGTACCTAACAGAAGAAAAAGTAGGCCCAAATCTTATCATGGTGGATTAGGCCCTGACTTACTTAACAAGACTCCTAAAGCACAAGAAATAAAATCAAGAATCAATAAATGGGATTTTGCTTATTTCTGTAAGGCCTTCAAGTTCACTGTTGTTTTCTTCTGCAAGCATCTTCTCTGCTGACCATTCCTAAAAGAGTTATTCTTATATTTTGTTTAGTTTTATAGCTACATATAGTAAAAGGGTAAAAGTAGAAGCCAATGGCCCGAGTAGAATCCTTAAAAGTAATAAAGAAAAAGAAGAAAAGCAACAGTTTTAAAGCATAATGGATATTCCAGTTTTTCTATTGATATTACTAAAAAGTTAATGGATAAAAGGGGGTCTTAGAAAGTCATAGTTGAATGCCCATTTTAAGGATGATAAAGTTGAGGTGCTGAGAAGAAAAATAACTTGCCCATTGATGCCTCATCTGTGGATGGGTATATGATTTGCAGAGAATCAGCATCTCTTTATTCCTTGTTCATTGTTAATCTTTATATTGTGGTGTATTCTTAGCACTTCAGTTGATTAGAATATATCATTGCAATTGGCATTAATAGTGGTAAAAATAACACTAACAATTATATCCAGTGAAGTTTAAAATATATTCCTTTTTGATTTTGGTTAGATCAAATTTTAGTTTTGATTTTTAATTTTCTTATTCAGTGTTTTACAGTATTTGACTTAATGGGCACATTTGTATAATAGGTGATACATTTTCTAATTATCTTATTAAATCTAATAATATGTCTATTGAGATCAACAAACCAAAAGGCAATACATTGAAAGAATAGAGAAAAAATATTTTTTTATGTATTTTTCATTTACTGCTTGTTATTGAGTAGTTTGAACTTTCCTCATGCATTTCTCACTTATTGTATAACTCAGCTGATATTTTGCTGTACGGAATCATGAATTTCAGTGGTTTTTAAAATTGGCATTGTTTTGTTTCCTCTTCTCCCTTCAAGGATATTTCTATAATGGGAAAACTGGGCCCCAAAACCACTGAGCTGGAAGCAGAAGCACCTCGGACGGAAGAAGAAACACCTCAGATGGAGGCAGAATCATCTCAGATGGAGACAGAACAAGAGTTACACATCGGTGTTGAGGAACCTCAAGTGGTAAAGTGTTTAAGAAAAATCCTCCTTGCCCATACTAAAGGAGTAGCTTATCTCTTATTTTTTTAATGTATATTTTTATGTGTTCTTATTAGTTAACATGATAGTAGAATGTATTTTGACATGTTATACATATATGGAGCACAACTTTTCATTCTTCTGGTTGATGTGGGATTACATTGGTTGTGTAATCATATGTACCCATAGGATACTAATGCCTGCTTCATTCTACTGTCTTTCCTATTCCCATTTCCCCCTCCCTTCCCTTCATTCCCCTTTGTCTATTCCAAAGTACTTCTATTCTTCTCTACCTGCCCCTTATTGTGAATTAGCATCTGCTATCAGGGAAAAACATTTGGACTTTTTTTTTGGGGGGGGATTGGCTTATTTCCCTTAGCCAGATAGTTTCCAATTCCATCCAATTACCAGCAAATGCTATAATTTCATTCTTCTTTGTGGCTGAGTAATATTCCATTGTGCATATGTACCATATTTTCTTTATCCATTCATTTGTTGAAGGTCACCTAAGTTGGTTCCATAGTTTAGCTATTGTGAATTGAGCTGCTGTACACATTGATGTGGCTGCGTCACTGAAGTATGATGATTTTAAGTCCTTTGGGTATAAACTGAGGAGTGGGATTTATTTGCTTGATTTTTTTATAGAGAGTTTAAAAAGATTTCCTTCAAAATATTCTAGAGGTGCATTTAAGTATAAGCATATCTAATCCAACACTCTGTGAGGAGTGCTGTCCTTGGCTCACTGTGGCTGACTATCATAGAGCTTTGTGCTAAGGCCCAATATTCTTTTAAGAAGGAAAAGGTTATTAACAGCTTTTCTGGTTTAAAGCCATTCAGATATAGAATGTAGTTAGAGAATTAATAAAAAGTTTTTAACTTCTAAGAAAGCATTACTTTAATCTGTAGTTGGCTAGAAGAATTGTTAAAAGCATTGACAAGGGGAGAATGTTGTTCTGAATCTGGACTATGGGTGACAAGTTTGTTTCAGAAATACAACTTGCTTTTTGGCCATCATTGACAAAATAATTGTGGGATTCCAAGCAATCTGGAACATATTTCCTGTGAATGAGAAGTGTCTCCTTGTATACAAAAATTCAGAATTAAATTAAAAAGATGGCATGATGATCAGTTCCTTTACACAGGTCTCATAAAATTACATCACTAAATGGCAAGCTCCTTTAGTTTTTGAAACTGTGACCCCAGATACATAAAAATTGAGATCACACTTCATTTTATGATAACATATTGTGTTCAGGAAGCATGTGAATCTTTTTGCTAAAGCCACGGGTTCTATAATGTAGAGTCACCACAAATGGTAGAACTACTAGAGTTTGAGATGCTTCTGGTTGAAACCATGTCTTTTCCCCCTTTGCATACTATTCCCTGCCTTCAGACTTACCATGTGGCAAAATTAGTAGCTACTCAGCAATTGTAGTCTCTGAACACATAAGACTTTAGATCATATTCCAGTTCACTATCATAATACGTTAACATAAAAGAATAGTTTTTAGGAAAACATAAATAATAGGTTTGAGTGAAAAGAGTAGTATTGTCTTACATTTTCTGCAAATCTAATGTCTGATTGTAACAGAGCTAGATTTTCATATCTGCTCCTGAATTTAATCTTTTGCAATGTGTTATTTTGACTGAAATATATTAAAAAATCTGACCTCATGCAGACTGGAAAGGGAGTCATATTTTAATGGCCTTCTAATATTATTGTGGATATTCTCCTGTGTTAATGTACTAAAACTGTATCTTTAAGATTAGCTGCAATGTGGGATCAGAAACCAGATATATGAACTTGTTGCATATCCTTACATTAAATCCATTGCTCCATCTTGCTTTTTGAGCTAATCTTTTACTCTGGATGATATTTGTGACCTCATGCATTAATCATTTAATAAGTACTGGTCCACTATTTTATCCAATACTGCTTTACCATTATCTGTGAAAATTTTAACACAGTGAAAAAGGTAAACAACATCTTAATATTTGAATGTCCTTTTGACATTGTAGTCCCCTTGAAAATATCTCAAAGGCTGTGAGGAATCTGTGGGCCACATTTTGAGAATGACTAGTCTATTGGGTGAAAGGGAAATAGGTTGAGAAAGTATACTTTGGAATCAGGTTGTCTAGCTTTAAACAAAGCTTTGATACTTAACCCAAAGTATGGCCTTGGGCAAGTTATAAAATTTTTTAAGGCCCATTTTCTCATCTATAAATGGGGTTACCAACAGTTCTTATTTCATGGAGATGCACTGAATATTAAAATTAGATGCTCTGGTACTCACATCTGTTGGCGGCAGGGTTACAGGCACGTGCCACCGAGCTCAACTTATATTTTTAAAGCATAGGAGTAACATTTTATGGGAAATTTTCAACTGAGTCGATGATGATTGCTAAGGCAATTGTAATACTGTGCGATACATGCTCATACAGAGGAGTTACAGGATCAGGAATGGCTTTGTAGAGGAGTGAGGCAGGTGGAGTCCTGAAGAGAGGGAACTGCAGTTGGAATCATCCTCCTTTCAAGATGATCTTCTTCCATTTTCTAATTTATTGAGTGTTACTTTCATTTGTTTCTTCTCCCAAACCATAACCTTGGGAGAGTGTGTGGAGGAAGCCAAGAGGGGTTAGATTCAAAAGAAAGGGATGGTTAACAATGCCCAAAACTATGGTCCATAAAATGAGTGAGTTTATTATGGGTAGTAAATACAGCAGCAGGCCCCTAACATTTGTGACCTCTCCGTATCTACTTTGCCTTTGTATGAAAAGAGTCTATCTTTTTTTTTTTTTTTAACCAATGGGGAAAATAAGGCTGAAAAGGTTTTTTTTTAAGTCCACTAAGATCAAACATCTTTTCATTGATCCAGGACTTGAATTGAGTCCCATGGGGGTAAAAAGTTCTTAGTCTTTTCATTGCCTGTAACTTTATAAAAACATGAGCTCAGGATTAAAGCTAATTTTACAAAACTGAAACTTCTTGGTCCAGGTATCTCTTCTTGTACAGCAAAGAAATTTATGTACTATTTGGTACTGTGTGGAATCTGTTATCCTCTATTTTCTTATTAGCAAATGTATATATCCAAGGAACAAAAAAGATACAGTTGATCTTAAAGTCATTTCTATGTAATTAGGGCTTTTATGTAAGTCAGACTAGTCTTATCATTTGTTAAATTGAGGAAATGAATTTTAACTGCCAGTGTGCTTCATAATCCCAAAAAATTTTAATTCAAAGTTAATTATTACCCAAATGTGGCCATATAGATAATTTCCTTTGGATTTGAAGAGAAACATCAGGTAGTGGGACTTTGTTTTTTTTTTGTACCAGGAATTGAACTCTTGGCACTCGACCACCAAACCACATCCCCAGCCCGTTTTTGTATTTTCTTTAGAGACAAGGTCTCACTGAGTTGCCTAGCACCTCACTTTTGCTGAGGCTGGCTTTGAACTTAGAATCCTCCTTCCTCAGCCTCCTGAGCGGCAGGAATTTTAGGCACACACCACCGCACTCAACTTATATTTTTAAAGAACACAAAGCATAGGAGTAATATTTTTATGAGAAATTTTCCACTGGGTGTGGGAGAGATCTATGGTATCTGATAGTCTTCCTGAGGCATCAGGCTCAGGTCTTTTGCTGGAACTTAAGCCAGCTCTGAAAGAGCAGCTGCCTAAGCAGGAAGCCCGCTTCTGAGACTCTTAGAACCTCAGGTTTGGGCAGTGGACTCCAGGCTGACCTAAGAGCCAAGCGGGATAATGAATAGATTTGTCTGCAGTGCCTTTTGTGGAAGGTACACTGGCTTGACACCGTGTGAGTGCTAGGTGGTACCAGGGTAAGATCTGAGTCTTGTTATTTCCTGAGTTTGTGCCCAATAACTGGAGAGTTGGTATATTTTCTGAGATTAGAGCCAGGGAAAACAAGTTTGTAGAGGAAATTGACCACCTCTGCTACATTTCAAACATGCATTTTCATATTCATTTGGTTGTCAGACAGAAAATGTTGCAAAACTGAAGACTTTAGATGGACTGGTAAAAAAGAGCATTCTTGTAATTTTACCTTTTTTCCCCCCCAGCCAATGTTTGAGGAGCCCTTGCAAGATGTGTCAAGTATTTTCCAGATTGAACAGGAAGCTATACCAGAATGGGAAGGCTCAGAAACGGGAAGCATGTTATTTGGAGCACAGGATATGTCACGAATACAGAAAGCAGAGCCATCAAGTAAACCTCTGCAAGGTAGACAGCCTCCAGGAAAATCAAAAGTCCGCAAGCAGGTATCTTCAAAGGGGAAAAACTGTTGTAAACAGAGTTAGAAGAGTTGAGGATGTGCGAGTGTCAAGCAATGGGCCCAGGGTTCACCCTGCAAAAGGGCCTCAATAGTTTTATTCCTTTAAGAAAAGACAGCGTATTTTTTTTTAAGGGCTTTATTTATTTGTTTTTCTTTCTGACATTGGGGATTAAACCGGGGGCCTCACATATGCTAGGCAAGTGCTCTGCAACTAAGCTATATCATCAGTTCTCTTGAGAGCTTTTAGTTTCAACCCTAATTACAATTTTGGGAAGAGAAGACAGATTTTCATGGAAAGAAGGAGTCTTGGCTCTTCCAGAAATTGACCAATAGTCTTCAAGGTACCATCTATGTCAAGGAAGTCTACAGTGGTCACTACAATGATCAGGACTGGGTAAGCAGTTTTTTAACTTTACTCCATTTAAGTTTATGCTAATTCCTGAGTTTTTTCTCACTGTAAAAAATGTTTCCCAGATTTGTTTTACTTATGCATCATTTTCATAATTTTTTTTTACCATATTTGCATATCACCCTACAATTATTTACTTAATATTCTTTTACTTAAATACATTTATTTTAAAATAGATATGCTATTTTTAATAATAATGTTATTTTAGGATGAAAAAGAAATGGTTTCTTTTTTTTAGAATACTAGTATATCATCTTGTCACTGACTGATTCAGAGGGATGCCTTTTTTTTAAGTAACAGCCTTCTTGGTCATCCCTCTCCTTCTGACTCCCCATAATTATGTTCCTGACTGTGCTTCACCCAAATCAACTGGTCATTACCTTCTTCAACTTTTGCCCAGGACTCTCAAGTTTGAAACCTGGGATTTATCTGTGAACTTCCCTTTCACATATAATCAGTCTCTGAGGCCTAGATTATTCCTAAACATTATTGATTATATGGTTTTCTTTTTCCTTATCTTTCCTGGTTGCCTCCATTGTAGTCAGTTCTGGTGAAATTATGTCCGGATTAGTGCACTTGTCTCCTAGTTTTTCTTCATCTCTCAAGCTCTGCTTTCTTAGGTTCATCCTGTATGACACTAGCTGGTTGATCCTGGGAATAATAGATAACAAGGAAGATTTAATAAAGTTGACCAGAGAAAACTTCCCACTGCTTTCAATGAGGAAGGACTTACCATGTGTTGGTGATGGACTTCACTAGCAGTCATGCCACCTTTCCAGAGCAGGCACTTGGGGTCTGAAGTGAAGCCCTGCAAGGCCAAGTGAACCTGCCCATAGTTCACTGTACAGGTGAATCCTGTGTTTAGGCTGACGTCCTCCAGGTATCTGGAAACGGCGGCATCTTGATGAAGAAGCATTAGGCTGGGGGCCACAGCAGTAGTGTTTTTATCTATTCTACCTGAACACTGGGACTTGGGAAATAAATGTGAGCATAAGCGGTAAGTGGTTAGCTACCAGTAAGTCAAAGAATGAGATGAATTTTCTGGACCGTGACTTAACCACCATGGCCCATCAGGAATTGAAGTCCCTCGTTAGAAATGTCCTGTAATATGAACTCTTCTGGCTTATTGTGACTATTATTAAACATTATTAAGAAATTATGTAAAATTATTTGTTTTTGATTAAAAGAGGCTGTTCTTTCCTAAGTCACTAGAATTTATTGACTTTGCTAAATTTTTTACACAATTTTTCTTATTTTTTCCTAATAACATCCTTACTTGTCGTTACCTTTCTATTACTATTGCAAAAATGCATCATGAGAAGATATATAGCTTGCCCAAATAGAAGTTAAGTTGTAGATGCAGGACTCAAGATGAGGTTGCCTGATTGGCCACATTGCCTTTTCATAACAACAAGCAATGATATCTGCTTTAGGTACAGAAGCACAGACTCGCAGCTACAGAAATGACAAGGGATGTAATGTACATCACCAAACTAGGAAGCATGGCTTCACCAGAGGAACTTAAAGAATGTATTAAGAGGACACCAAACTGAAACCAGAAATGTTTCAGAGGGGAAGAGAATGTCTGATAAGATGTTTTGTTATGGTTTATTGTTGTGGGATATCATGGGACACATCAGAAATGCCATAAAAATGGCACAGAGGATTTATGTGATTAGTTCCACCAAATCTTCACCAAGAATCTTATGTTTGTTTATTTATCGTAACATCTCAAGATCAATTATTATCCATGAACTTTAACCCTGTATATGGACAATTGAGGTCATAAAGTTAGTCTCTAGCATCTTTGGCACAGGAATGAGGAACAATATACTCCAGCAAGCCAGGACAGATTAGGGCACAAGAAGATTTTCTGACACAGCTAATAAATAGATCTAGCAGAGAGTTGATAAAGGAGCAACAAAGGACTTCAAGTACTTACGTATATGCTGGAAGATCTTGTTCAGCAAAAAAGTAGAGAATTTGAACAATCTCCACCTATTGACCATTTCTACTCTTAGAAGCTCTGGAGTATAAAAAATGTCATTGGTACTCTGGGTTAAGTCATGATCAACAACAGAAAAAATATAGAAAAATACAATAGCAATCTTGTGAAGAAATGACAATATCCAGTCATAAGATTGGTGAGCATTTTAAAAAGGAAAATGTCAGTATGAGTCTGTAAAAAAAAAATATAGGTTTGGATCATATGACCTGGGATTCTAAATGAAAGAAAGTTTAAGAGGTGTGGGTTGCCCTAAATCCCCCTAAATTATCACAGGACAATTATAAGTGATCGATCACATTCAGAATTTTAAAAATATGCAAAATACGAAGGAAAAAATACATTTCTACAGATAAACATAAAAGTGGCGTGTAGCTATAAAAATTGTACCAAGAAAACTGAGATTCAGAATGGGCTGAAGCCTGTGAATAAAGCTAAGAATAACAACAACAACGAAAGCAATTTTCATGTTAGTTTTAGAGAAAAGGGAAGGAAAAAAAGGAAAGACAGCCTTGTCATTATGGATGAATAGTGTAATGACAACAGATGACAGAGATACCTTAATTTATTTTTAGAAAAAAGGTTGAGGTTTTAAATAAACAAATATGACAGAGAAAAGGAAACCGGCAAACTCACAACTTGGTTCTTAAATCTGTCAAGAATGATCTTTAGAAAGAAGAGAAGAATTGATTTAAAAAAAAAAAGCCAACAACACAAATCTTTGTAAAAGGTCTTCAGAGTTAGATGCCTGAGCCATTGGCTCCAGTGATCATTCCTCACCTTTGTGTCCCTGTCACAGCAGCTTTCAGGGGTGGCTGTAGTGGGAGAGGAGCCTGGAAGCCAGGAGATTGGCAACTGCAAATATGACTTTTAGTTTTTTAAGGGTAAGGACTGTGAATTTTGCAATCAGTGCATTGGTCTTGGATGAGACTCTACAATGACTAAAAGACTTATTCAAAAAGTTGTGTTTGGACCCTTATAAAAGGAAGAGGTAATCACTGGGAGCATGGGTTCCCTAAGGACAAGCCATGGAAGACCAACCTCATTTCTTCTCCTAGAACATCAGAACAGTTAAGATCTGGTTGCTCAATATAGGAGTGTCATGGGAAGCTCACAGGCTCTGGAGCCAGATCTCCAGTGACCGAATTCTCTCCTCTTTACTAGCAGTGTGATGCAGGACAAACTACCAAACTACTTTTATGGCTGTATAGTTTGAGGAAAATGACAGTGCCTACCTTAGAATGTTGTTGGAAGGATTCTATGTAGAGGCCACAACAGAGAGCACTCAGAACCATACCCAGCACACAGAAAATGCAATGAACAGTAATTGCTATCATCCTGTGAATTTAAGCAATCCACTTATGAAAGCCTCCTGAGAGTTTTGCAGACAAGATGACAGGTGAATTGCAGGAGGACTTAAAATTAGTTATGCAAAGGATGCATGATTGGTTCATGGAAGATTCTACGGAAATTTCAACATATTTCTCAGTCATTGGGATGAGAATGTGGAAGGCTTATTTACTAGTTGAATTTGCAGATGACGTCCGAGACCTGACTGGTAAAATCTGGTTGGCCAGACCTTAAAAAAACTTAGTTGGGGCAAATGTATTCATGGTTCTGTTTTTGTGTTCCAAACTTGTCGCTATGCGATGGTAATTCTTAACAGTAGCAAATGCGAAAGACTTCAGGTTTTAAACTATATTGTCATTTTGTGATAGGAAGACAAATGCAATCATAGTTTACCTTTGTTGACAAATGCCATGAGAAGATCCGCTTTCTCCTGACTGATTCATCTTATCGCACCTCACACATATGTTCAGATCTCAGTGTCCAACTCCAGGAGGGACTTAGACAAATTAGAGAGAGTTTGGAAGAGAATCTTCAAGGTAACAAAGCATAGTACTTCAAAACCATTTATTTAAGGTAGAGTTGAAAGGACTGGGAATGTTTTTCTGGGGGAATAGCAGTCCCAAAGGAGTCAACAGGGTTCAAAATATTTGAGGGTCTTTTCAAAGTGGAAGAGAGCTAGGTGGTGTCCGTATGGTTTCTGAGGTTCCAATCAAGACTGGTGGTTGTGAGTTGTTAGGCTCAATCATAAGAAGCAAACATGAATTCTCACAAATGGAAAAGTTTCAAAGAGAAAATGGCTGACTTTGAATGTATTTGTGGTCTGTGTTCTTGCCCATGTTCAAGCCAGGTGATGACCACCTGGGAAAGATACTGTGGAGGAAATTCAAACACTAACTGAATGGGAAGATGTAATGCTTTGTCCTCCCTGAATGTTCATTATTTTTCATTACTCCCTTACTCAAGAAGTTGTAATAGTGCTGTCATTTCTACTGAGTCAAGACAAATTCCTCTACTTGTTTATAAGAACTTCTCTTGGTCTGGCCTCCTCCTTCAGTCAAATCTTTCTGTTTTTATGAGGGAAGGTCTCTCTTTTTCTTTCTTTCTTAAATCAAATCTCAAAAAAAAAAAAAAAAGAAAGAAAAGAAAAAACCAAAAAACCCAGAGCAACCCAAGGAAAAAAATGTTTACATAAAAAATTATCAGAAATTGTGCAAAACTTCTAGGAAATCTAGGGAATCAATATTTAAAATTATTTATGGCACAGAACGTACTTGATTTTTGCCAAGCAGTAGAAATAGAAAACAGTGCAACTATAAGAAGTATAAATTGGTAAACATTGCTCAAAATAATAATATAAAGCACTTGAGTTCTTTTTAGCTTGTGCTAGTTAACCACAAGTTATGCCAAACCTTAAGGAACTAGCGATAAGTTCTGCTAAAAATACCAGTCTTGAAGAGTAAATCAGGCTGGAGATGTAGTTCTGTGGTAGAGCACTTGCCTAGCATGTGTGAGGCCTTGGGTTCTATGCCCACCCTGGAAGGGTGGGGGGAGAGATAAAAAGTGGATTTGTGGATGAAAAATATTGTAAATTATATTGTAACAATATCTTTATTGCCATGAAGGTGTATATGTAAAAATTTAGGAATGTATTTAGAGGGAAGTAGCTCACCTTTAGCACTTATATTCTGTTATAAACTATATATAGAAATCAGCAGTTTAAATACAAAAAACTATTAAATAAATAAAGATCTAATTCTCATGATACAACTTCCCCTAACAGTATACTTTTTTTTTTAAAGTTGAAATCAGGACAACTCTTGCAAATCAGAGGAAAAGAAGTTAAGAGAAAACCAAAAAGTAAACCAAGAATTCCAGCATGGAGATTAACAAAGTCTTTAAAATACCGTCGTGATAAAAACCTACCTAAAAAGTAACTTCATTAAATTTACAAATTTTACTATCTGAAGAGCTGTCATTCAGTAGCATTGATGCATGAACATGCTAATGTTTTAGAAATTCATATGTGAGATCTGAGTTAAAACTTCTCAAAGGAAAAGTTGGTGTAGATTTTATAGTCAAGATGTGTCTGTGCTTCCTTCTATTCCTGATTTTGACCAATGCACTTACTTTAATAAATGTAATACTAGCTGGAATAAAAAAATAGCTCTTTGGGAAAATAGCAAAATTAAATGTTAGCTGTTAGATTTGATAGTTGTGGTCCCTATAATGCTTGATTTGGATAAACTGCTTATTATACTGCAGGTTGATTTTATGATAAAAGACAATGCACCGCAAAATGTCCACAGGCCAACTCACTTAGCAGTTAATGGATTTATTCTTCTCCTCATGTTTCATCTATGACCCCACCAATATTTTTGATAGAGTTTCTTGTCACACAGGAATACATTCACAATTTTGAACAGCACTATGTAAACACAATTTAGATTATGGCTTACGATTTGCTGTTCACCTGGTTGAACAGCAAATCGTAAGCTCTGGCTTTCTCTTTATTTCACTACTAGGTTTTATGGGTTGGTTTATTCTAGATTATTCTTCATTTAACTCTTTATGGGGGTTTGAAGAAGCTTTAATTATTAGCTTTTGTTGTTGCTTAGGGCACTGGAAAGTGTGCTGGACTTGGAAGACAACCTTTTTTATGGCCAGCCTCAACTTTGTAAATGGATATTACTCACAATTTAGTAGCTGGGAATAGAGTCATGGGAAAAGAATTCCAAAGTTTATGAAACAGTCAAATTGGCATTTAAGTGACCCCATACATGCCATTGCTTATCTGCATTGCTTTAAGCTCATTTAGTTAGCAAGATTATGTATTAAAACAAATAGTGACAGCAGACAACAAGTATTTTACCTTCAATAAATAGTTACTGTCAGATTATCAATGAAGCAGAAACTTCTTGATTTTTTTTCCCCTAAAAAACCTTGCATTTAGTGCATTAAGCAAAGTAGCATGGCCACACACAGAGTCAGAGGCTTTTCTTTTTTATGTCTCCGTGTTTCAAAGAATGACAAATAGTCCTGCTTAAGGAGAGTGTGCTATAAAAACACAGCCTTTCCTGAGCATGCCAAAAATATTTGTAGATCTTATTGATATATGTAGTGCTCTTTTAATTCATTAAAACAGAAATTAGCACTTTACATTAGAGAGAAACAGGAGGAGAAGAAAAATCTGAAGTTAAAAAAATTATAAAAGAGAATCTTGAAAAAAAATTTCTGAACATCTTTCATTCACAGCTCCTTTTTCTTTAATCAGATATCAACCTATCTTTTCTCACCACTGACTAACTCTCACATTATTTTCTTGGGAATCCAGCCCTTTATGGCAGCATATTGTTATTTAGCACAACAATCGAGGGAGAGTCACTTGCTAATCTATGTTGCTAGACTATAATGGGAACGTGAGAATGCAGATCAGTTGTGATGCTTTTCAAAGAAAAAAAATAAGTCAGTAATGTAATCTCAAGCACATTCCACTAGCCAGGACCTGTCCAAGTCAGAATGATGGTGCATTTGAGCTTGACATGGGAGCTTACCTTTTGGTCTTCTCTCTTTTTTTCAAAGCCCTTTTGTAGGACCCCGAGTGCCTGAAGCCCTGGCTTCCTGGACACTCATTCCCCAACCTCGCCTTTAGATCTCTATTTTTCAGGCATTTCTACATGCTTTAGATTTATCTCTCTTTTTTCTTTTTTTTTTTCTTCACCACAGGAACATGTACAAATTTTACGTCTTGTTTTTGTTGGGCCCTGTTGTGAAAATGTCATAACCATTCTCTCCTAGTGACTAAATAATGTACACACATACCTACCAACAGGGTAGGTGCTGTGCAATGCAAATAATAATGACAATAAAAATATAACAAGTGTTTCTTAAGAGACTTTCACAGACCTGAAATGATAGGACTATTATTTTTATCACTTCTTACAAAGATAAGAGCTAGGATTTTTCTTTTATTCTGTTTTTTTTTCTGCAGTTTTTCAGAGAAGGCAGTGATCCATTTTGCAAGTATTAGAACTGAGATTCAGATCCAGGCCCAGGTGTGCTGGAGTGTAATGGCAGTGGGTATGAAGAAGGAGCATACCTGAGCAACCCTGCGCAGGGGAGAAATGCTGTTTCCCCCCATCCTCCAATACTGGGGATTGAACCCAGGGGTACTCTACCACTGAGCTACATACCCAGCCTGTTTTATGTTTTATTTTGAGACAGGGTCTCACTAAATTTCCCAGGCAGGCCTCAGACCCGAGATCCTTCTGCCTCAGCCTCCCAGGTCGCTTGGATATGCAAGTGGAGAGAGGATTCAAAGACGATTTGTACCTTGAAGATGAGGAAGCTAGGCGGGATAGTAATTCCAGAGATGCGATTTAGGAGCACTGAGCACGGAGAGAATAACTGAAACACTGAAGATAGTTTTTTCAGTGTAGAAAGAGGGGTTCACACTTTAGAAGCCACACTCAGTTTGGGAAGCTGGAGGAGTCAGTGACTAAGACAAATCATGAAGCAGGCAGAACATCACATCTTCATTCCTATTTTTGGAAGGTAGGAGAGAGTCAAGTTCCAGAAGAGTGTGAGGGAGATGCCACACTGACTGAGAGAGGCCTGGGTTTCATCCTGCTAGGTGATGGGTGACGTACCACATATGTTATTCTACCTCTTCAGGAGCATTAGCATTTAAGTAGAGTAGGAAGGAGGAGAGCACATCGGCTAGATATGGTGTCTGGGACTAGTTACAAAATTGAGGAGAAAAGAGGCTGGGGGGTGGGATGATAATGAGTTTGATTTTGAGGTGTCTGTAGGACATTTAGTTTGAGATATTCAGCAGATGGTTGGATAATGAGCTTGAAGCTCTAAACACTAGTCTGGGATTGTAATATGAAAATTGTATCTGATCTCCTGTACTCACACATCCTTTTTAGAGCCTGAACTAAACTGTCAATAGAAATGCATTTTGTGTCTGAAGATCACACAATGATAAAAGCAGCTCACGTCCTTTCCTCTGTTGCAGAATTCTACAAGCCCCTTCCATTCCTCACATGCATGATCTGTGCACCACCATCCCAGGCCGACAGCTGCCCATTGACTTGCACCTGGCCTCCCGCGTGTACCACACTGTCAGCAAGAAGGGCCACCGTACCCTAGTTGAATTTTTTGGATCATGTTTCTTAGATGATCACTTTCTAGACACAGAAAAAGATAAGTAAGTGTTCTTTGGTAATTTTGTTTCAAACAGTTTGACACTGTCAAGGACATTCTGCCGTTGAGGTTTAGACTTTAAACCTCAAGACTTCTGCTTTGGGACAGTAGGGAGGAGCCATTTTTGTTCTTTTCCATGGCTTCCCCAGTCCATACACAGAATCAGTATCTCCATTTCCTGATAATATTAACAGGAGCCATGACTGCCTTAATCTGTTGTGTTGCTATGATAGAATACAACAGACGGGGTAGTTTATAAAGAAAATACATTTATTTCTCATAGTTCTGGAGGCAGTTCTGGTGAGGCTCATTCTAAGGTGGAAGAGTAAAGAGCAAAAAGTAAGAGAGTGTGAGATAGTTGGCAGTAGGGGAAGGGGGAAGAGGGACTGAAGTCATCCTTTTTATATCAGGAACCACTCCTGGGATAACTAGCACACTTCTACAGAAGTGGCACTAATCTACTCATAAGGGCAGAGCCTTCACGATCTAATTACCTCTTAAAGGTCCCATCTTTTAACACCGTTGCATTGAGAGTTAAGTTCCCAGCACACGAACTTTGAAGGACATATTTAAACCACAGCAGTGTACTATCATGAGGTAACTTCAGTAGTCTAATTCCAAAAAGGTGTTACATAATAGTGTCTTATTAGTTTTCTCCTCCTCCTCCTCTTCCTCTTTCTTCTTCTTCTTCTTCTTTTTTTTTTTTTAATTTTTTGTACTAGGAATTGAATCCAGGGTCCTCTACCACTTAGATTATATCCTTAGCCCTTTTAAACTTTTTCTTTTGAGACAGGGTCTTGCTAAGTTGCAGAGCTGGCCCTGAACTTGCAGTCTGCTTATCTCAGCCTCCCCAGTAGCTGGGGATTATAGGTGTGTACCACCATACCCGGCTTTATTTCTCCTTCTCCTTCTCCTTCTTCTCCTTCTCCTTCTCCTTCTTCTTGTACCAGAGATTGAACTCAGTGGTGCTTTTCTACCTGGCCTCATTTATTCTTAATAAGAACTCTGAAATACCGATGTGGGAATTGAGGCTCATAAAAGTTAATCAGTTCAGCACTATTTATACAATTAACAAAATTACAGATTTGGCACTTGAGTCCAATCTTTTGAACTTAATCTCACCATCTTTAGATATACTTGGGGTCTAGGATCATATACAAAAGTCATTGCCTCTTGGAGTTCATTCCATTTCTCCTTGTGTCTCAATTCCCCTTGGAATCTGCCTAGTCTTTTGTGAAGAGTACATAATCTACAGCATCTCCAAACGAGGAGAAAGGAAAGGGAGCTAACCCTGACTGAGTGGTAACAGCTTCTGGAGCACTGTGATATGTGCTTTTGCATATGCTTTCTTTTAAAATCTTCAACTTAAGAAAGAAGTCACAATTTCCATGTGGTTAATGAAGAAATTTAGGCTCCAAGGTATTAGGTTACTTGCCTAAGTTCTTAACTTGGAATAGTGATTAGAATCCAGATTTGTCTGAATTTTTCTTAACCCCCCCCTTTTTTTTCATTTGTAAACTTTTAAAGAGACTTTCAAGACTTTTTGTTCTCCTAACCACCCCTCCCAATTAAATTATAATACACTATACATACTGCGTATCTGCTTATAGTACTGAATGTGTGTCTGTGCTTTCTACATAAAAATAAGAAGCTTTCATTATCCCACCCTCCCCATGCTCAAAGCATCAGTTCTCATCCCCATGGGGGGCAATATTACTAGCCCAGAAAGACGCATGCTCCAAAGGCTCCTGCCTTTTAGAAGAGCTAGTGGAAATTCTGAAAAACCACCTATTACATGTTCTAAGAATATTAAAATATTAAATATTATATGAAATAGAGCCTTTTCCAGTACATTGTAATATTCTAGTGAAAAAAATATTTAAAAGATTTTAATTATACAATCACAAATTGAGTGACTTACCTACATTTTTCATGGTATACCCTGAACCCATTTCCTTAAACCTTACTTTCGGTGAAAATTGAAGCACTCCAGTGCATTCTTTCACGGTTTAAAATCACCAGTTTCCCTGTGTTTTGGAACCACAATGAGTTTCATTTTGAATTCTTGAAGGAAGGTTATTATTATATTTATTTTTTATTTAGGCAAAAATATATTTTTTGGATGTTTTTGCCAATCATTTAGTTTCAACTGATGAAATCAATGCTTGCTAACTTTTTGAAAAAAATTTATATGTGAAGAATTTTGGAAATTCTTAAGAATCTCTGATAGGAAATAGTTCAGCAGGACATTCTTTGAAATGTCCTTTAAAAGCCTAAAGCTGGGAATACAAAGTCAAGACATAGCTAGTAGTACTGACTCAAGACTGAAACTAGTCATTTCCATTAGTGCTGTGCAAGCCAAGTATCATTTTGGGGAATAACAGTTTCTATTATTCATGCAAAGTGTTAAAAATGCTGGTTTCTTTCAAATTCTAAATTTTTTTTTCTTCAAGTAGACCTCACTTTCTTTTTCCAAGAGAGTCAATAGCACTATTTGACAATGATAATTCTTGGCAATTTGTTCCTAAGTACCAAATAAGAAGTTAATTTAAGTACCTAATATTTAATTCTCTAGCATCTATCTCTTGAGGATTATCTGGCTAAACATAGCTTAACCTTTTCAAAATATATCTGTCTGCTGAGTCTACAAGTTCAGAGAAATATATAATTTTTTTTCTGCTGTAATAAGTGTCTGGAGAAAGGTAATCATAAACACAAAATAAATACCTTTTTATTTGGTAGCCTTTTGCTTTATCTGTGCAATGAAAAGTTAACTCCAAAGCAGAATAATACTTGTGGATATATAGCTTTAATGATTTCCCCACTCTGCATATGGTAATTGTTATTTTTTACGAACACTAATGATATTTTAGTGAAATGGTAGGAGTATATACTTCAGTTTATTTGAAATAGTAAAATGATGTTCAAACTTATGTCTGGTTAAATAGCAATTTTGATGAGAACTATAAAATATTTCATGTTTTGCTTTAAAAATATTTTTTGTACTGTCTAGAGAAGTTAATAGCCATTAATTAAAATTCTTAGAAATGAATTGTAGATTTAAAGTTTTAAAGTAGGGCAAATCATTAAAGATGTTTAACACTTAGGTTAATGTTGCTTTGGTGAATAGTCTTCCAGACAGCTCTTATAAATCATGTTTATATCATACAAGACATTCTATAGCTCTAGTTGTTTTTCACTCAAGTTTATGTGTGAACATTTAAATTACTTCATGATATTTACTAATTTAACCAAAATGCAGTGACTATTTTTACAATAACCTTGACACTATTCATTTCCTTGAATTCTTGCCAAATAACTAATTGTCAGTTTTTAATATTTTTTTCTAATCTGGTAAGGAAAAGCGTTTTTAAGATTATTTTTATATTTTATTTGTTATGGTTTGAGCGTGAGGTGTACTCCAAAAGCTCATGTGTGAGACAATGAAAGAAGGTTTGGAGGAGAAATGATTGGGTTATAGCTTTAATCTAATCAGTGAATTAATCCCTGGTGGGATTAATTGAGTGGTAACTGGAGGCAGGTGGGCTGTGGCTGGAGGAAGTGACTCATTGAGGGTGTGGCTACGGGGTATGTATTTTGTATCTGGAGAGTGGAGACTCTCTCTGTGCTTTCTGATTATCACATGAACTTTTTCTGTCTGCCACACTCTTCTGCTGTGATGTCTTGCCTCACCTCGAGCCCCTAGGAGTGGAGCTTGATGTCTGTGGATTGAGACCTCTGAAACTGTGAGCCCCTAAATAAACCTTTCCTCCAGTTGTTCTGGTGGTGTCATTGAGTCACAGCAGCAAAAAAGCTGACTAAAACATTATTCATTTTCTCCTTCTTCCTTCCTTCCTTCTTTCCT